CTGATAAACCCAGTGGAAGGTAAATACTTTGCCCCTTTTACAACCAGCTAGATTTTCCCCTTTTGTCTTTACGTCGTCAGCAATAAAGAAATTGGTTTAGGGATAAATTGAGGAATGCCACAGTCTCGTATAACAGATGACGATACAATGCATCTCTTTCAATCACCAATGTCAGCCAGGAAGGTCGCCTTGACTAACGAATTACAAAACACATAGGCGTCTCGCGTGTTTTAGGCGTTTGCAACTGTTGCGTGGGACAGCTTTCATTGTAACGCACGTGAATCTCTATGCTGACTTTAAAATGACTGTTAAATGACTTTTTAACGAATCGGCAATAATAACCACGCAGTTGTCATTAACTGCACAGACACATCGCGGAATCACGATATATAGTGAACGCTGAACTTCATAGGAATTATTCAAGAAACGTTTTGGTGAATGGATAAAGCCCACATTCTTTCTTTTCCTTTCCAACCAGCACACACCACCGAGTCTTAAGTAAGCTATGCCATGCAACAAATTTAAAATCACTGAAAAGCTCAGTGATTTAAATCGATTTGAAAAGCGCATTTATTTTATCAGCAACAAACGGCCGTATCCAGCGAATGTGGATGATATTTTGTGACGAAAAGTCTCTTATTTCCTATGAAACTCAGGGCCCGGTAAACTCTAAAAATATTATTTATTGAGCAGAAAGAAAAAAAAAAAAGAAAACAGCGAACGTTTAGATAAACAAAACCACAGACAGCATAGATAGATAGAGTTTTGGTTTAGAGATTTGCTTTTGTGCAATAAACTTCTCAATGGCTTGGTAGTGAATACGCTATGCAACTCAATAGAACAAATAACTGAAACACACAGATCAGTCCTTTCGTATTTCTATTTACATCTTTGTTGAACTGTCGGACTTTCAAGGGAGCACCGTGTATAGGGAGGGGTTCAAAAGTTCCAGTATGCTTAGCTAGCTCTCTTGGAAAATCTTTCTTATTCAAATCTATGTAATTTCTGCTACAGTTTACTATTTTTCGCACGAAATGATCCCCTCTCTTTATTGTTACCTGTTTTTGCTGCGTTGTTTTTTCATTCATGAGTTGATTCCCTCACCTCAAAATTTTTTTCTATCAGTTTACTCAAACTACAGAGCGGAGTTATCTTTAATGATTTGTCGTTAGATTTTGAAACCTTGTTTTACAATATCAGCGATTGCAAGACGACTTTTTTTAATGTCTTCCCCTGCTTAAGCAAATTACTTCCCCCCTTACTTCTTGTCTTTCACTTGAGTCTTGACTCGTGTTCGTCTTCTAGCGTACCTTTCCAACAACTTCACCACAGAGAAACATTATGTTCTTTTCATTGAAAAGTTGAACTCTTCCCTTATAGGTTCGTTTCTATAATAGAAGAATAGAATGAAAGCGGAATGTCTTAAAACGTAGAATGTCAACGCATGCATTTATCAGCGACTCTCTCTTGTTCCTCGAAAAGAGCAGATCCAACTAGGACACGCAGTGACAAAAATCACTGTAATCGTAATTATAATGATCATCACCATCATTATTATTTTTGTCAAAGCGCGCGGTCGATGTGATGATAACAAAGATAAGAGAGAATGGCAGAGAATGGCTACTGAAACTACTGAAAAATTCAAGAGAGCCAGCGTGTATTAAAATGAGCTTACAAAAATTTCTAAAAGAAAATTACAAAGTGCTCGACTGGAAATCATTGAAATGATGAGTGTAAGTTTCCAAAGAAATTAACAGGGTTAACAGGATTATTTGGTTTTAACAAAAGATTTGATGATGTAAACTGGCCACAGTAAAGAGTTTTCATAGCCGATGTTTCAAGCGTTAGTCGTTACTCAGAGAGAGAGGCTGACGCTTAAAATGTCAGTTTTAGAAACTCTTCACGGAGGCTTATTCGCAGGTTTGACTCACTTTATAAAACCAATTTATTGGTATATTCTTAGGCGTGGATGGTGACCAATGAATTTTAAAACCTTAAAAGAGCTGATTTTGGAGCCAATAGGATGAGTGCTTACGAGAGAGTTCGGCTTCAATTTCGTTGAAAAATGTACAAGCGCTTGTAAGGTGCATAAACATCATAACGGAAAGGACGAAAACTACAACGTTATGAGTAACAAACCAGAAGAAATTTAGCGAGGGAGAAAAGACTGAAATGCAGTCACAGCTGTTAGAAAGGAATCACAAGCACTGAGACCGGTGGGCTGAGAGAGCTGCGTCAATTGGTTGATTACCTTAAAAAATGGAGGAATGGGCGGCAACTTTGCAGATCCAACCCAAACCTTGGTTTCTAGAAGACAAAAATAAAAATAAAATACAATAACAAAAATCAGTTAAGGTCAGTCATAATGGGAGACACCGCTAAGAGCAATATATAAGATCGATACAGTAATCAGTGATAACAGATTGCCTGAATATTTTATTGCCATTTTTTTGTATTTTTTTCTCTGTTTTTGCATTCGAAGCTGCCTGTTCGAGATGGTCAAGAGAGCAATTTGGAGAGATTGTAAACATTTTTAATTTCTCAAACACGTCTCGATGTGTCTCAGCTCGCGCCTTCGTCGGTTGAAAAACTATTTGAAAAAAGAAACCATTTGAATCAATACTAATCTCGACAAATGTGCATAACTATGATGACAGGAATATAGGAGAAAACGAACCTCTATAAACGGCTATTAAAGCAAAAGTGTGAGGTTGACATCATTGACTATTTAACTGAAATGATTAATGGGTTTTTCCCAGTTGATGGAAAAAGCCTCCTTGGTTTTAGGCTGGAATTTTTAAAGAGCAGAACCTATGGTTTCGATCTGTTGACCGGAGTACTCGGTAAGCTTGGGAAATATTTGAAAAGGTAAGAAGACCCATGTGTGCAAAAGTCTCTCCTAGTCCCCTTCCCGTTTTTTTTTCTCTTCCCGTTTTAATTCTTTTTTGTTGTTGTTGTTTTTGTTGTTGTTTTGTTTTGTTGTTTTGTTTTTTGTTTGTTTTCACTCTCTTTTGGAGACTTACCACCAGCAGATAAGCTGCACAGATCTGGGGAAGAAATGCATACACGGTCGTATCTGTTCCTGAAAACAACCTCACCGTCTGCTGAGACCAATTCGTATTGTAAGATCGCCTCCAAAACATTCACCACTATTAGAAGCAAGTATCGGTTAGAAAGCGGCTAGAAGAACCTTGTGTAAAGGAAGTAATACAACATGAACTTCATCTGTTGTGCATCGAGGGGTGTTTTCCCGAGGTCTTCAAAACCAAATTTTCCCTAGAACCCCTTGCTGGCGATCGCTCTCAGCCCTAACCCAAATCTTCTATTCTCAAATCCTGGATCTTCATAGTATCCACCCATAGTCAACTGGATAAGAAAGGGGTTAGATTAATGGTTTGGTCGTTGACCAAAGAAGAATATTAAAAGTTTTTGTCACGAGTGTAATTCCAAAAGAAAATCTGATTACCCCCACCACCAAAAGGATCAAATCTTGGGGTGTTCTATGAAAAACAACTCGATTGGACCCTACAGTAGGTTTAAACGAGATATGCGTTAGTCTTACATGTCTTACATGCTGGTAGGATTTGCAATTTCTTATTTTATCATTATTTTTTTTTATTTTTCTATATTCTATGGATTCGCAACAGCCCGTCTCTCTTGGCCGCCGGGCCCCTTCCCTCTGTTTCTTATAAATTTACCATGTGGACTTTCACGTTTCTAGTAGAACCCTCCCCTCCCTTCCAACTAGTCCACTAAGGCCCTCCCCTGAGCGATTCTTTCCCCTCCTTCCCCAAAGCACACTTTC